GTGCAATAAAATGGACATCTTGGAATTAGTGTTTTGTTTTTCTCATCTCCAACTTCCACATGCCATATAATACTGTTATGTTGCTTTTGTGATTTCTCATTTTAAAATTTTTTTAGGGCCAGCCCCGGTGGCCTAGTGATTAAGTTCAGCACACTCCGCTTCGGTGGCCTGGGTTCTGTTCCCGGGTGTGGACCTACACCACTCGTGTATTAGTGGCTGTGCTGTGATAGTAGCTCACGTACAAAATAGAGGAAGATTGGCAACAGATGTTAGCTCAGGGCGAATCTTCCTCAGCAAAATAAATAAATAAATGAATAAAATTTTTTTGATGATTTAACAGCACCCATTATATACGTGTTCCTTCATCTCTCCAATCTGGGTTATTTGTTGGAGCTTAGAAAGAGGCGATGCTGGGCCACATTGAGCTCCTTATTTCACTTGTTCTCAGTCCTTGGGTGATAGTCAGGAACTTTTCCCTGAAAAGAGTGCGGTCAGCCCTCAGGCTGCTGGGTACTCACTTCATGGTGGGGCTGGAATTACAGGGAGCTGTGAGTGGATATAGGATGGGGCCACTGGTCATCTCGCCTGCTCCTGGGTGCCTGGTGAGATGCTTGTCCTGCTGCGGGCAGGGGCAGAGCTGTGGCTTTGTGGCCACCAAGTGGAGAATGGAATCTGGTAAACTGAGGATCCTCTGACTGTTGCCAGACCAGTGACTTTGGCTGTGAGTTGGTTCCTCTGAAGGGTGGAGGGATGATGGGGCTTGCTTGTCCTCGGCCTTAACAAGGATTCTCTGCTCCCTGGATGTCTCCCCAGGATACATTTCGTAGCAGATTCTTCAGGATGAGCATCAGAGCTCCCCGCAGACTCTTGGAACTGGCAGGTCAGAGCCTGCTCAGGAGTGAGGCCTTGGCCATCGCTGCTCTGGAGGAGCTGCCCATGGAGCTCTTTCCGCCGCTGTTCACAGCCGCCTTTGCCGGGGGACACAACGAGATCCTGAAGGCGATGGTCCAGGCTTGGCCCTTCGCCTGCCTCCCCCTGGGGGCCCTCATGAGGGAGCAGCAGCCTCACCAGGAGACCTTCCAAGCTGCGCTAGATGGACTCGATGTCCTGCTTGCCCAGGAGGTTCGCCCCAGGTGAGGGTGATTCAGTAGCCTGGTAGGGCCCTGGGAACCCAAGCAAGATACAGCTGGGGTCAGAGAGGGTGCAGGGCCCAAAGGGCTAGCCAGAGGCTTCTGATGGCACCAGTTAGGAAGCAAAGGGAAGCCTTGGGGCCGTTGCTGGGGTCACTCCGGGAAGAGGCACCTGGACATGTAGTGCTGATTAAGATATTGAGATGACTGAAGGCACATGTGCCCAGCCCTTCCCGGTGGCACTTAAAGGTGCAAGAAGTGGGGACCAGGAAAGATCCCAGTAGTGCAAGGAGCAGCTGTCGTCTGGGCTGTGGAGTAAAAGCGCAGGTCAGGCGTCTGCTCCTTGCCTAGATTCTGAGATCGCGGTCTTATTCCCTGTTGATCTTAAAGCATCTCAGTGTGTCTCTTGTTCCCCCCGCAGGAGGTGGAAACTGCAAGTGCTGGATTTACGGAAGAAGGCTCGCCAGAACTTCTGGACCGTGTGGTCTGGAACCAGGACTGGTATATGCTCCTTCTTGGAGCCAGAGGAGGCCCCACCCATGAGGAAGAGGCAGAAAGTGGATGGTTCAAGGGTGGGGCTGAAGCAGCCCTTGGCTCCAGTGGAGGTGCTCATAGACCTTTGCCTCAAGGAAGGCACCCCTGACGAGTCCCTCACCTATCTCATTAAGAAAGTCAAGCAGAGGAGAGGTTTGCTACATCTGTGCTGTAAGAAGCTGAAGATTTTTGCAATGCCGTTGCAGAATATTAAGAAGATCCTGAAAATGGTGCAGCTGGACTCGATCCAGGATTTGGAAGTGAATTGCACTTGGAAGCTGTCCACCCTGGGGCAGTTTGCTCCTCACCTGGGCCAGATGGGCAGTCTGCGCAGGCTCCTTCTGTCCCACATCCACATGTCTTCCCACACTACCCAGGTGAAGGAGGAGCAGTGTGTCAGCCAGTTCACCTCGCAGTTCCTCAGTCTGCACCACCTCCAGGAGCTCTATTTGGACTCGATCTCCTTCCTTGAAGGCCGCCTGGACCAGTTGCTCAGGTGAGGGTTGGCGAGGTTTCTCTGCAGACCAGGGCAAGCCCCTTTTCTTTTCAGCAAAGAGTGATGGGCATTTGCCGTGTGCCAGCCGTCAGCAGTGCCAGAGTGCATGAGTCACTGTAAGTTCCACACATTGTCACTGCTCTCTACCCAAGCACGTTATCACATAACCCAAGTGTGTTGTCACATAACCACCAAATAGAAGTTAGAGGTATGATCTAGGACAGATGCCATTAAAAGGGACCCCTTGCTAGCAATCTGTATACATAACGGTGGCTTTGGGGCTGGTGAGGATGGCTTTGGGAATTCTTCATTGGGAAGTGATGTCTAAGTCAAGATGATTAGAAATAACTAAGTGAGGAGGATGTTGACGAAGGGAAAGCCCGTCAGACGTGAGGTTTCAAAGTGTGAGCTTTTGTGCTCAGCAGCTTCATCAACACGAGCCTCTCCCTCCAAACTTGCCTCAAATTGCCCGTAAAGGGTTGCTTTAGGCTCCAGCTAAGTTAATATGTTGGAAATGCATCATTCTGGAGCTGAGGGAACCGAGTAAAGGATTGTGAGAAGTGATGGGTGGTTTGTGGATGATACGGTGATCTAGGTTAGTCTCTGCAGGCTGGCAACCCCCGCGGGATGTTGCCGTTCCTTGCCCAACTTAGCCCTTATGCACATCTCCCGGTAGCCTCAGGCACAGAAATACCAGTAGTGGAGGTCCAAGCAGCAGCAGAAGGAACCCTGAGTTGAAAGCATTTCCAGTCGTGCCTCCCAATACTAAGATTTCCTGATTCCCTCTTCTGCTTGAGACATGGGGTCAGGCTCCCCTCTGAGCACCTCCCATTGGTACCTTGGTTGATACTCACAACACCTATGAGGAGTGTGTTATGCTTGGCTGACAGAGGAGCAAAGGGAGCATTTAAGGTTTCATTCACTTGACTCAGTCACACCGCAAATAAGGGATGGAAAAAGAACTCCACTCAAACTTGGACTGACTTGAATGCATCCTTGGGAGTTGACTGTCATCTGGAAGGCTTTGCGTTTTGCTGAAATGGGCATCTCTTCCCTGAAAGCCTGAGTCATCCTCACCTCCCTCCACCCACCACCTACATCCCCCGGAACTAACTGCTCTGTCTCTCCTCAGGTGCCTGAGGACCCCCTTGGAGACCCTGTCAATAACTAACTGCCTGCTTTCGGAATTAGACTTGACACATCTGTCCCAGTGCCCGAACGTCAGTCAGCTGAAGGACCTGGATCTCAGCGGGGTCAGCCTGACCTGTATGAGTGCTGAGCCCCTTCAAGTTCTAATAGAGAGAGCCTCCGCCACCCTCCAGGATCTGGACTTAGATGAGTGTGGGATCATGGACTCCCAGTTCAGTGCCATCCTGCCTGCCCTGAGCCGCTGCTCCCAGCTCACGATCTTCAGCTTCTGTGGAAACCCCATCTCCATGGCCGTTCTGGAGAACCTGCTGCGCCACACCATCGGGCTGAGCAAGCTGAGTCACGTGCTGTACCCCGCCCCCCTGGAGAGTTATGAGGACGTCTACGGCACCCTCCATCTGGGCATCCTGGCTCATCTCCACGCCAGGCTGAAGCAGATGCTGCAGGAGCTGGGACGGCCCAACATGGTCTGGTTCAGTGCCAACCCCTGTCCTCACTGTGGCGACAGGACCTTCTATGACCCGGAGCCCATTCGGTGCCCCTGTTACCTGCCTGCCTAGCTGGGTGCACATATCATAGGCTTTATTCTGGGCACTTGGACGCTGAAGCCCAGACATAAGTGCCTCTTGAAGTAACACAGAAGCCACAATTTCAAATAGCTTCTCAATGTGAGCAGGGGAAAAGGAAGAGTGATTCAGAGTTGGGGGATATTGCGTTGGGAGTTGATGGGATCTTTGGGGAGATGCGTCTTATTGAGTTAGAAATATGAATCTGAATTTCTAGGGGGAAATTCTGGTTTGGGAAGTAGATGTGGGAGTTAACCCTGCATGGATGGTTGTAAAGAAATGGTCAGAAATAAAAAGAACCTCAATGTCAACCATCTGGTGTCCTCTATGATATATTAACATGATTCTCCAGTTTGAACCTCAGGGGTCTCCAGTTACTGATTAAATAAGGAGGCACGAGCATCCATGACACCCCAACACTAGGCTGGATGAGGTTCAGCTCCAGGAGTTCACAGCACCATTTATCATTCCCTCAATTTGGTTCTTCTCTCTGGTGCATCTGTTACCTCCTCACTTAGTTTTGTGGCTGTTCAATTGGTCAGCACACGCAAGGTGCATCCTCAGGAACGTACTAAGTAGCTGATAGCACTACTGGAGTAAAAGTTTTTCATAGGGACCCTCGCTGCTAACTCCACTGAGGCCCTGGACTGGAGCAGTCCTCCCTATGGATCCAGTGGATCCAAAGCCTCCATCCCTAGCTCTTGGTGGTGCCAGGACAAGGCTTCACTGTGCACATGTCAGGCCATGCCTGACATCCCACTGGGTCCAGTGGGATGGAATTCAACTAGTTGTGGCTGGTAAAAACATCTAAATTCCTTTTAGCAAAATACTAAGACTGTATAGTCATGTAACATTTGTTTACTATTTGTATCCCACATTAAAAATGTGGTATCCTTTTGGGGGGACTAATATCAACGCAAGAATGGCTTTCTCCCCAGAAGATTTCCCTTCCTTCCTATCAAGGAGTTGGTAAGCCAACTCTGAGCCAGTGAGATTTGAGTGGATTTGGGGTCCCAATAATGAACAAACCCATGCCAGATCCTGGGGAGCATTTAGGTGGAAGCAGGAGAACATCAGACTTGAGAGTTGGGGGTGTGGAGGGGCCCCCCTGCTGGACAAGCCATCCAAATGAAAGGAAGTTGTCACACTGTGGGGTGGGACTCCGTGGTCAGTGGGCAGTTGGCTGCCTGGTGAGCGAGAGGGCTTGCTGCCCGCATGCCACTGCCTTCAGGCCCCAGGCTGCCTCGCCTCCCTCACTGCATGGCCTCCCAGGGAAGCACCTGGGGAGCAGACCACACGTCAAGGCCCAGGGGCAGGGCTGCATCTGCACGTTTCGTGAGTGTGAGCAGGTCAGTCCTCCTTATTCTCTCTCCACTGCCTCTCCTGTGGTGCTGGCCTCTCGTGTGCATGCTGCTGTCTTTGCTGGATGTCATTGACTTCCTATCTTGCTAGACACAGCAGCTGGCCTTTCTCCACTCTCCTCCCACAGCAGTTACCCTCTGTCCCTCCATTCCAGCCTCCTACCCTACGCTCCATAAGAAAGAACCAGAAATGGGCCCATCAGCTTGTGAGCACACTTTGCCATTTCTGAAAGAGGAGGAAACAGAAATCCATGAAACCAATAGTGTGCCCAACAAAAGGGGATCAGGAAAAGATGTCATCTTTCCCGAAATGCACCCTGTCTCAGCATCCCCGACATAGACCCAGGTTACTGGGAAATTTTCCAGAACAAGAACCAGCACATGGGGCTGGCCCGGTGGCATAGCAGTTAAGTTCACGTGTTCCACTTTGACGGCCTGGGGTTCACCAGTTCTGATCCTGAGCGCAGACCTACTCACCGCTCATCAAGCCACGCTGAGGCAGCGTCCCACATAGAAGAACTAGAAGTACCTACAACTAGGGTATACAACTATGTACTGGGACTTTGGGGAGGAAAAAGAAAAAGAGGAAGATTGGCAACAGATGTTAGCCCAGGGCCAATCTGCCTAAAAAAAGAACCAGCACATCTGGAATTTGAGGGAAAGTGTACAAAACGCACAGGCTCTCTAGGAAGAATAGCAAAGGTGAAGCATCACGTCATCTCAGCATCAGGTTCTTCAACCACAGAACACAGATAGTAATGATCACCTCATAACATTGTGGTGATGTTCACCTATGGGGCTACTTATATAAAGCACTTGTTGGGGTTCCCCACTCATGGCTGACCCCATCCAGGATAGCGATTATTATGAGCCACCTGATGCAAAGCAGAGGAAGAAAAACAGAAGTCCATGCTGCATCTTCTAAAGCGGGGTGCCCTACAGTTGGGACTTTATTTGGCCTAGAGACCTCAATTGAGAGAGAAATCTGGCAAGATTCTTTATTCAGGGGGCCGGCACAGTGGCGCAAGCGGTTAAGTGCACGCGTTCCGCTGCGGCGGCCCGGGGTTCGCCAGTTTGGATCCTGGGCGCGCACTGACGGCACCGCTTGGCAAGCCATGCTGTGGCGGCATCCAATATAAAGTGGGGGAAGATGGGCACAGATGTTAGCCCAGGGCCAGTCTTCCTCAGCAAAAAAAAGAGGAGAATTGGCAGATGTTAGCACAGGGCTGATCTTCCTCATGAAAAAAAAAAGATTCTTTATTCAGAATTTAGACTTTGCCATCAAAATATTCAAAGAGACATGATATCAAGACAATGAAGTTTTGAAAAATTGAGTTTGGCTGGAGAGATACCTCATCAGTGAGGATGGCCATTTAAGGGCCATGAGGAGGTGGTAGCTGCTGGTGGCCCTTTGAAGGGGAGGTCTCTAGATCATTAGAAAGCAACCAAGGAGAGTATGGCACACACAGTATGTTGCTTGGTATTAACAATTCACCCTGGAGCCACCTGATCAGCACAGAGACAGGCAGATTGGATTTAGGGCGGCTGGAAGACATGGGTGTGAGAGGGAAGAATCTGAATAGAAAAGAGCCAGAGCACAATCTAAGGCAGCTATGCCCAGGGAATTATGCAGAAGCAGAAATAAAACCAAAACAAGGCCTGAGGCAGAACAAAGAGGTGAAGTAGTTTTAGGAGCACGAGTTCTCCTACTCATGATCCTAAAACTACTTCCTATTTCCTAATGCCAAATGAACTATTTCCTAATGCCGAAAAGAACTGCTGACTTGACCCCCAATCCAGAGCAGTGTTAGAAACCCAGATTACTACTACTGCTATCATTGAACCAGGTTCATTTTGCCCGTCACATGAAAAGCCAATCACCAAGACGGGTTTGCACCAGAGAAAGGGTATATTCACAAGGCAGCCAAGCGAGGAGATGGGAGAACAAATCTCAGATCTGCCTCCCTGAAAATAGGGAATCTGTGATATTTATGGGGTAAAGGGTCAGGGTGGTCTGAAGTGTGGGGATAGATGATTGGCGAAAAGGAGAAGTGAGGTGATTGATGATCTGCACAAGTGTAGTCAAACTTCGTGGCTCTTCATAGGACACACGCTCACAAAGTGGTGGCACTGGCATGATCTGAAGGTGGAGTTTTTAACTCCCTGACATCAGGCGGTCACTTATCAGACACCCGCGCAAGCCCAGTTGGTGGGTTGGTGGTGTTGACTGGCTTGAACTGGACTGGGGTTGACTCTTAGTTCCTGAAAAACAACTCAGGCACCCATTACCATGGTGACCCAGGCATCAGGGATGTTATCTATGAGGAACCTAGTGGAAGTCGGGTAATATATTGCCTATCTGCGTGACTTTTAAAAATAAGCAGCACGGATAACAATGGGGGGTGAACAACTAAAAGCTGCAATTAATAACTACCGGAAAAAATTTTAGTCACTAGCTACCTAATCATTAATGGCTAACTGTCCACGGGATTCACTGACAATAAGAGGTGAGGGGCTATACAACCAGGTTCTGAGAGAAATAGCTCAGGCTCTGCAGCAGACGTGAAGTCACTGTGAGAAGCACATTTTCATCACCTGTCCAATCTCCTGTCTTTCTGGTGATCTTGTGTCTTAGGCCCTGAAACTTAAAACAGAGAAATTGGCCAAGCAGGGGGAGGCCTCACAGGCTGAGCTGAATTCTGGTTCAGGATTCATCCTCTGCCCAGAGAGAGCAGAACTTCAGCATCAGGAGACAAACCTGGGGTTGTTGCAGGAAGAGGTTGATCCAGGCCCACCTAAGAGCTAGAGAAAGATTATTTTAGAAAGAAAGAGGAAGAACAAGAGGGAGAGGGGATCCAGCATTTGGACAAGCAGAATTTAATATAAGATGAAGAGGCAAGACCTCAGCGGGCTGGCAAACAAAGCAATCACTCACAGAACTTTTGTAGAATGTTTTCTTCAATAAATCACCTTCCAATCCCAAGAAAGTCAGAGCAGGGACACGGATCCCTGAATCTGTGTCTTGGCAAACTGCAGACTGCAGAAGTGCAGGTTGTCGGCACTGCGTGGATCTGAAAGTGCCAGAGTGGGTTTCATACGAGATGCGCCAGTGCCGGGTGGATCCTGGTGTCTGTCGGACCTCTGCCGGCTGCCCACTGTCATGGCCCTGCAAACACCTACAGAGCTTTGTCCTAGCCCACAGACTGTTCAATAGCATATCTTCCTTTGATGAGATGGCTCCATGTCTTCCTCATTTTACTCCTAGATGAAGATCCATAAGCTCCACTTGCTTCTTTATTCCTCCTTAGCTCAGTTCTGCCCACGTTTTAGTTGAAGGATAGCGAAATGTTTCCACGAAATCTCTTTAAAAGGGCGAGAATGGATTTGGACAGAGATGAGATTTGATTGACATATAACTGCTATTGCCTATCAAACCTTCTTCCTCACTGAGCAAGGAGCCCATGCTACACAGTAGGGTTTCTCTTCTACTTGATGGGCATTAACCCATAGGAGGTAGAAAGCTGGGTCAGGGAAGAAAGACGTGCTGCTTCATTCACTCTTACGATAACAAATATAAAAAGGTTTATTAATGTGGGGATGGGGGAAATCCTCTTTCTACCCTTCTTGTGTTCTTATGGCTGGACTAATAATAAAATTTACACAAGACCAGACTAACAGGGAAAACCCAGTTTAATATATATATTTTGGAGATCACAGAGAAATGATGCTCAAAGAGTGAACAAAGCAGGCAGTATATATAAATCTTTTACACAAAGAAACAAAGAAAATGTGTGAGGAAGGACAGGACAAAGAAACTTGGATTTGTGGTAGGTAATTAGTGAGGAATTTAAGTAGAGATTGTGCTTGAGGTAGTTAATTAGCAAGGTTTGTTTATTCAGGCTTCTCCGCCCTGAATTCCCTAGCTTT